GGGAGAGAGAGAGAGAGAGAGAGAGAGAGAATACCAAGGCGATGCGGCAATCACATGCATCGGGAGAAAAAAATTGGACAATTAATAACGTACCGCGAGTATATCTTTGCGAGTACCGACGCCGCGACTTTTGTATGACAATCCGTATATTAGTAAGCTTTACGTTAGCGCAAGTATACCTGGACACTACGCGGCGAATTGTAATACCGATTCGCGTCATTATTAGCCGCGACGCCGCACAATATTTTGATCCCAATAGTCACCCTCGTATTTTTTAATCCCTATTGTCCAACCCTCGCTCTCTCCCCGCATTTTACACGCCGAGTTAGGGAGACTTTCCGCTCTCGCGGAAAAAAAGTCTTCGGTCACGAGTGCGGGACACACTCCCCATTATTATCATTAGAATGATCGCCCATCGGACCTGTTCGCGTTTCGAACGCGTTGGGCCGGGACGCGCCGCGAGAGCCCGAGCACGGAACCCGTGACTCTATTGTCACCCGGCTCCTCGGAGTTCTCGTAAAAGAATACAAACTCGAGAAAGAGCGGGCTGAGCGTGTCGCTCGCACCACTAACCACCTGCTGTGCAAACAGCGGGAACGTTGTAAAAATCCGGTTCGCTGCTTCCCAACCGAACACGCGAGTGTTTAACGGCTCGCTATCTGTTCGCCTCCGCGTTTATGTGGACCACGGCTGCTCAAGCGATAAGGGCAACCGTGACAGCGGCCTTGGCCCGAAAAATCTTGACAGTTACCGCGAAGCGTCGCGACGCGCTTCGAGCTTTAACCCTTTCGAAACTTCGCTCGACGCAGGTGTCTGCGTGACCCAGTCAGAAATTACTCGTCGATCGACGTCGAAACGCTGACGTCAATATGGCGGTTTCGATGTCGACGCGACATCGTTTCGACGTCGATCGACGAGCTATTTCTGGCTGGGGAGAGGAGTCTCGGAACATTCATTCGAGATATTCATCTTTTTTTTTTTAATAATATCTACCAATGTTTTGATCTGTCGACTTTCTCCTAAAAATATATCGAAGTCGCGAGCGATCGGAAAATCGCGCGTTTTTGGTCACGAATCGTGCTCTTTTCTTATCTGCGAATTTTCCGATCTGTCGATTTTCTTTTAAAAATATATCGGGGTTGCGAGCGATCGGAAAATCGCGCGGTCTTGGGTCACGAATCGTGCTCTTTTTTCATCTACGAATTTTGTGATTTGTCAACTTCCTCCTAAAAATATATCGGAGTCGCGAGCGATCAGAAAAGTCGCGCGTTTTTTTTTCCACGAATTACTTAAACTTCGGAGGCGCGAGGGGAAGACTCTGCGACAATTTCGCGGATCAGAAATTGTCAGTTTGCGCCTGGCGCGCAGCAGACGCCGAGCGATTGCGACGGTAACGGAGAGCCCGGTTACGCGACGCTCTCCCATCCTCTCCGTTCGCATCCTACATTCAACCTCCTGCCCTGTGATCTCAGGGCGCCTGTGTTTCATCCCTCTTGAAGTTAGCTAACAGCAGGATCCTGCACAATATAGTCGTGATTGCAAATCCGCTCGTTATCGCCAAAACTGTGCTCAACCTTACGAAAACCACCTCTCGCCCTGCGAACTCCTCCCTCTCGCTCCTCCCTCCCTTCTCTATCTCTGTTTATCTGTCATCTATTTATCTTCCTCTCGCGATACGTGCCATTGTTCGCCGTTTCTTTGACGAGGCAAAAAACTCTTTTCGCGTATAAATATTCATCGTCTATTCGCGAGACATGCTCGGGAAAACAAAAGGAAATTTTATTTATTTCTCCGCGCGAACTTTCGAGGAGCGATTTGTCTCGAGGAGCGACGCGCGCTCCGAGGGGACTTAAACTCAAATTGTGATCGAAATCGAGTAAAAACACAGATTATTTATCACAGAGATAACGCGGCAACAGCTTGGCTGCCAACGACGCGCAATTAATGGCGTCCTTACGCGTCATGCGTTCGGTCGAGTTAAAAATTGCGAGAGCCGACAAATGGCACGTTTACTTATGCAGGAAAAGCGGAATGTGCGTACGTCGGGGCAGGTCGAGACACACTCTTCTGTCAGGCGATCGAGTATTAACCGGTAAAACATTCCGATGATTGCACAGGTGCGAGAAGATTGAAATTATCGGCCTACGAAATTATCTCTGAACGTTATCGGCGAAGTGATCGGGTCGCGTAGCGTCTCGGCATCTCTTACTAGTTGGCGTAAAATCACCTGGAAATTATATTAAATTGGACCGCTCGTAAATCCGGCGCGAAACCCGCTCCTCGTCGCTTCCAGCCGTGATCCCAGGTCCGAGTCACGAGATGACGCTACGCGAAGGTCGCCGTTCCTTTGGTCCTCGAGGATGATCGACGACAAGGGCCGCGGAACAATAACGGGCGAGTTTTGGTAGCGCATGCCGACGATTCCCGCTCACCTGTAATAGCACAGGTCGTCTCGTCATCGAACGGGAATGTCGTGGGTTCGATCCGAGCGACCGAGCTCGGCTCACGGGGGGACGATCGACCGCCGGCTACGCGGCGATTACGTCGGGCGTTTTGTTTGGATTTGTTTTGATCCGGCATGGAGGGGGATATCGGAAAAAATAGCGACGACGAAACGGATTAAGGCTAACGCACGCTTAGCCGGCAGACAAACAACGGAGAGAGCACGTTTCTCTCGGTGTCCCCGAGTTCTCTCTCACCCCGCGCGGTTAAATCCCCGAGCCCCGTGTACACGTACGTGGACGGTGTTTCCTACGGGTGGCGGGATTTCTTCATGGGAACGCGAGTCGCTTCCGCCTCGCTCGCAGGTGCATCGGGGCGCTAATAAAGCCGCTCCGATGATTCAGCGCGATGCGAGTCGGCTCGGCGCGGCTCGCGTACACCGATAATATTCGCGATAATTAGCGACGCCGTGAGATGCGACGCCGATAAAATCGTCTTTCGTCGATTGTCGATTGTCAGTTGCCGTCGTGGGACCGCTAGCCCTTGAAAATCGAGTCATGCCGCGGGTGCGGGAAAACAATTTCTGCCATCCGCTCGCGTAGGACGCGATTGTTCTTTTCGCGCGAGGCACCGAGAAGTAGAAAATCCTTCTTCTTCCTCGTGTATTAGGCTTAAGGGGATGCTGGAGTAATTCTGCACTTTTGGAAAACATTTGTGTAATGTACGAATTATGTCGCTTTTGTGTACGAACCGACAGTGTTCCACTATTCAAATTAAATGAAAGAACAGCATGGTATCGCTGAAATTAAGTTAAGGGGTATGTGTGGCAAGATATACTCTCCGTGGTTGTCACGTTTAATCTCCCTTCGG